TATATATATATATATATATATATATATTCAAGCAGGTTAGAAGGGAGTAAGTAGTCACGCACTTGCACACTGTTGATGTGTTCTCGATTAGGGACAACACGTTTGCGAGTTAATTGTCAATCTTGTTGAACAAGCTAACGACTTCTGAGTCAACCACTACTTTGATAAATATCCCGGAAGAAACAGCCTATTGGTAGCTGTTCTATGATCCTGGTACTTTCCTGTCGCACTATTGCGCAGAATTGTTTAGCTGAGAAATCTCATTCAGGCATCACAACAGTCATAGCAGGGGACTCTAAAGCAATGGTCAATTGGCTTATGAGAGAAACAAGCACTTATGGAGTGAGGGCATCACAGGTTAGGTGACTTTTAGATGCTCTCAGGTGGTGACACCTTTTACGCAGGAAGAGTGTTTACACAAAACGGGGCTTTCGGGGAGCAACGGTGATCTTTCTAGGGAAACGATCTTTTTCCGAGAGATGTTCCTCTTGCAGAAGATTACAGTACACGAGATAAAAGTTACACAGAGTAGATGTTGAGCAGTTGGGTAGTTGAGTAAACAATATTCATTCTTACAGGTCACTAAATCATCCTGGAGGTAATAAGAGGATGGTTAGTTTCAGTCTATTTCAGTTTTCACACTACAGCAATTGACCTTTGTGATATGATCCCAGACAACGCAGCAATCGAGCTGCTGATATTTCAATCTTAACTCAATTATCCGAGAAAGAGATAAATAGTAAAGAAAAAAAGCCCCTCGTCAACCTTTTGTGTTAACGCTGAAAACTACAAAAACATTAAATTTACAGCAGTTCCGGCACTGATGTAGAAATACCGTGAGTCACTTCCCTTTTGGTTTGCTTTTTTTCACCTTTTATTTACTGCCTTGCACCATGATTGATCATTCACACCAGAACACCGGCCTATTGATTTTGTGATTTCATATACCGCCAACCGCTTTTTCATTACATTAGACAAAAGTACATTTGTAGGTGCGAGTAGCTGATTAATGAAACAGCGTGTGACCGATTACAGGGTGCGCCACGAGGTGTATAGGGTTCATAATGTGTTGTACCGTCTCAAAACAAAGTTGAGATTATTTCCACTTTTGTTTACCATACGTCTGTTCGATAAATCAATGGCCAAAACAACAAAACATGTGGACCAGTCCCAGCACGTTTTCAGCGCCAAAAATAACCATTAGGACAACAGAACGGTAAATGCCATAAAAGTAAAAACACTGTGGTTGAAAATGACGGAAACGAGTGAGGACGTTAACGATAGGTGCTCAACAATCGCTTGCTCCTAGGTACGTCGCAGGTTTGATGTTCAGCTTCGTTCGTCTCGATCCATGTTTGATCTCTTATACAACTTCGCTTAAAATCCCATTTGACGACACAAACAGATAAAGCATAAAACGATGTTTTAACAAAATGGCTGAGCAAATTAATTCAAAATCCCAGAAAATCGCATACAACAGGTCACGCGTGGGTTGAATGAAACATAAAATAATACTAAACGGATCATCTGGTTTTCGATGCGAATCTGCGATCTCAAATCCGTCTAAGGTATACTGCTTCTACTCTGACAGTGACTGTACATTTCGAATACATTCTAGGAAAGCGGTGGCATGCTGCCCTCTTAGACAGGTCTCCCAAAATATAAACAACTGTACTTAAATTGACAGGAACTACACAACCACAGATTATTTAAACAAAACCGAAGTATCAAACGTTGTGTACTTTTGATTGCAACCTGTATACCCTTCTCAAGACAGAGTCCAGTCTACTATCGAGTCAAAAATTCAAACATTTCTGACAGCAACAACATTTCCATTCAGAAGTGTGAGAAAAATCTGATGAATTGGGGTTTTAGCTACCACGAGAAACGCTTATTACCAGCTCAAACAATCAAAATGACTATGCATGTGTTGTTTCTCACGAGTATCAAATTATTTTCTCAAAATATGTATGTATTTTTATGCGCTTTTCACCTCAGATAGAGTGGGTCCTCAAGATCACCGGGCCAGATTGGCTGAAATTGTTCACACGATTGGCCAAGATTCGTTTTTTTGTTTATGGTTGTGTGAAGTTAGCAATACACATCCGCTTGGTGAGTGTGCACTCAACCTATCTCGCAACATCACGCTGTCTGAATCTTATAGAAAGTTTGTCGTGAGGGTACTTCTACCTAATCTCCCCAGCGTGCTATCCGAACTATTGCGTTCTATAGCAGTTGTATAGCCGCGAAGTGTTATGCGTTATAATGCCTTTGTGAAGGCTTACGGTCCTGCCGTTGTATGACCTTTTTCGTATTGACTCGCTCTTAACCAAGACTGCAGGGTATGGGCCAGAAGCAGCCTGATGGAAAATGGGTTTCTTCGGTTTAAAACAGTTCCTCCCCCTAGGACACAGTGGATCGCCAGTTTCAGCTATCTAAGATAAAAAATGCAACGCTCATCCAATGGGTAAAGAGACCAATCAAGGTCATTAAAATGTATGTGACGAGGCCAGTTTTGCACAGTTTGATCAATTATCGGTGCATCACAGCTGTTGTTTGCACAATTTCTATGAAACCATCCTCGCTTCTAACAAATTTGGTGCACATTGCACCTGATTAGGATTTCACGTGCACACCCTGCGTATTGAGCCATAAACCTCACCTAATATGTCCCACAGATACATCCATGAAGTCATAGGTGGGTATTTTTCGATGTGTGGAAGTGGCGTTGCTAAAAGCTTCTCATTTTTGGTGGTTACTGCCTCAGTTACACGAAGCAAATGGCTGTAAGACTTTTCAACCCAAATTTCCACAGATATCAGGGTTTATTCCCGAGTTACTCTCGTGCAGACATCTTTCATTCTTTCTACCGAACTAGCTGGTCGCTAGCTAACAATAAGAATGATTACCATAATCACCACTCTTGTTGACACTGATGTGTCAATGGCATACAGCCGTAAATTTCATGTGATTGCAGTCATATCCCTAGAGTGAAAAAAAGGGAAAAAAGTGGGTGAGTGTAAAGACCTGATGCTGGTCTGCCGCCCACTGAGGTTCTTGCACCCCAAAGCGCTCAACCAGACAATCTGGGAGGAAACTGACAGCATGAACGCCACTGACATTTAGCAGCCATCACTTAAAATTTCCTTAGCCAAGAGTAGTATTTTCAAGAGGACATGGAGGACATACTGGAACAACAACACCCAAACTTCTTTCTCTCCCTTCTCTCAAATAAGACGTTGTTCATATCGCACCATTCTGGAGACACGTAGAACATTTCTCTGAGTAGGCTGCGTTTCGTTACACGTAGCACATGGCCGACCGACTGAATTTGATAGTGTTGGATGATTTCCGCAACTGGAGTACGTGCTGAACAAGCAAACATCCGTTTACCGATTACCGCGTTACCATTTCGTCCTAGTTAGTCGGGATAGAAAGTAGGGAATATTGTTGCCTATACAAGATTTGATCTCCTGACATGTGATATAGACGTGCTGCCGTGATTTCTCAAAGTTTGCTGAACGCACAAAAGTTTCTCTTCCGAACAGGCAAGCATTTTTGTACTGTTGACTTTTGGAAACACAGTTAACAAACCTCACGACTTCTCACAAGAACTACATCCTTTCCGTGGAAGTAATGCACTACGCATAAAGCTGGTGAAGACTCTTCGACAGCCTACGAACATTTTCGTTCTTCATGGGACTCATCAGATCAACGTAGCCCCTAAGTTTTCGTCAAACTTATGTTCTACTCGAATCCCAATGGCACGAAATTCGATTTATACATTTATATGAATACTGATTTGGTTTTGACTAGATTTCCCCTGAAACCCAGCTGAAACTCTCGTTTATGTTTTAGCAAATTCATTTAAGCCAGATTAGCGTATCACGTCTGGGCATAGTCTACATTTGGTATTTCAACTAAACTGCAGTGGTGTACAAAGACAAGAGAATCGGTAGAAAACTACGTTGTGGCCAAGTACCGGAACAAACCATTATTTCTGCTCTGCTTCAAGGATGAAGCTGAAAAGCACTGACGGCAAAACGCAATGCTTCTAAAACCTCCAAGATCCGTACCAAAACAACCCTGAGTTTTTCCTACAACAAAGTGGTTCTGAGTTTGCTTGGAACGGGGATCCTTTAAACAGGGAAAGTTTTCGGTTTCCATACAGGGCAGTTCGGCTCTATCCAGAACGGGGGACTACAAAGATTCACACTTGTTTACGAAGGGTTATGGACGGAGTGGCCAATGTGAAAAGTAGGTCGATTGTGTTACAATAAATACAATCAGTTGGTAATGGAGAATCATCAGGTGTTCAACAGCAGCCCACCCAGAGTGAAAACCGGATGTCATCAATTCACAGGAGCATACGGATCAGTCAAGCCTAGACACAAGCAAAGTCACAGGGTAATCAACCTGCACAATGGGCGTGATTATCGATAAACAGACCATTTTTCACAGTAATAATAACGAAACATTTTATGATATGCTCGTTTCAAGCTAAACGGAATGCTAACCACAAATGCTTGTATTTAGTTGTACCTGAAGCACCATTAATTTACGCAAGCAAAATCACAGCAGGCTTGGTGACAGCGTTTCAGGTGCGGGCAGTTCATTGCAAATATCCACCCATTTCGAACTTTGAACCCAACAGATAGAAATGTCTGAATGTCGGGCACAACATGCTGTTCAACAGAGTAAAGTTAAGGAAAAACAGTCGCCTTCCTGACCATTGTTGTGGTCTGCTTGTCAACATCACAGTCAGTTAAAAGCTTCCATGAAGTGCCCGAATTAAAAGCCATTTAACGGTCTGTCGGGTAAACGTCAGTATAAGCTGATCTTATATATCAAGCTTAGCTTAAGTAGCAAGGTTTCATCATAAGGCTAGGTGAGACTTCAAGATACATTCCTAGAGTAGTACTACTCACTTTTTGTCAGCATCAAGCCAATCTACATCGAAGAACCCGCACGCACTGTACAGCTGTCTCATCACCAGCAGCAGTGCGCATCTCACCAAACTCCAGGCAGCTTTGAGTCCGTGCTCAGAAGGTCATGGTTGGTTGAAGGGGTGTATCATCGACGGAAAAGGTTGTGCATGAGATAGACTGGATCGATGTCCCTGAAACGTGTCGTCCAATAGATAGTCGACACGCAACTTACTCCATGCTATTTGTCTTTTGCTTACATTTAGCTCACCACAGAATGTCAAAACTCATCATAAACTTGTCCTTGACCCTTCGAACGCTTATTGATGGTGATTTTGCGTCGAACGGACGAAGAAATTTAGTGCTCATATAATCTGCCGATCCCCTTCTTGAGTCCGTCTTTTCTTCAAATTTTACGTCAAATGATTCCCAGATATTACCATTGCTTTCTACTCAGTTTTGTAATGAACAATAACCAGGACGGTTGTCTAAAGCCATGGAGAGCACACAACAATTTTTTTTCAATTTTCAGAGGTGGAACTGAGCAGAACCTCGAAAGTGGACACTACACCCGTGTTCCCCTGTCCAATCGAATGGACCAGCAACTAAAAGGAGCAAATCCACGGTACCGGGTACGTGACAACGAACCAAGCTTACTGCAAGCGGAGAATGGTCAGGAGCCCACACAATATCCCATTCAAAATGTTGTGCGCTCCTCACATGTGAGTTTCGATCTTTGCTTGCCGAAATCTATCTATGCACTTTACACTCTATTAATTTGGTCTCACGAATAGACACCGTTAATGAGGCGGGAAGGTTTAGTCGGTAACACAGAGTTAATGATAAACGCTTTGAGGCATTGGCAAGATATTTGAAGAGGAACAAAAGCTTTCAGGTTATTCGTCCAGGCCAAGATGAGAACAAGTCAACGTGAGGAGTTGACTTAAATTTACCACAACCGGGCCAAACAAATTAGCTAACTCTAGGAATTTACTTAGAGCCAGAAGAACGGTATGGAGTATATTTTGAGATTTTCCTTCAAGACAATTCTCTTGGTGCATTGTGTTTGTCCAATAAGTTCGGAGGTTTTTGAATATTCTCTAATATTGCACGCAAGTTTTTGGACTCCATACTTATCGCATAAACCAAGTATGACTGCAAAACAAACCAAAAGAAATTTAATTATTATTCCCTATAAATTTTTAGTGAAGAGTTCTGTTGAGCTGAGCAAGTTCTACCAAACTTTAAAATGACGGACTTCCCGATTGCCCAAGTTTATTGCTATCCATCTGCACATGTTCTGTGGTATTCACATTTTGGGGCAGTGAAGCAGTGTAAACCTGACTGTTGACTTCTGAACAGTTCTGAGTTTCTGGCCAAAGCTATTGGCTAACAGTTTCATGCTTTGAACTATCCTCGGGCCTTTCGCAGCCCCTTCATTCCGTTTCACCACAAAAACGGGCAACACTTGAACATGTGGTAACTTTTGCAATCGTTTAATTTAAAACTTTTCGTGATAAGCCTAAATAATTGCTGTAAATTAGTTCCATCCTTCTTGATGTACCACTAATAATCAGGCTAACAAGAATCATTCGACAGGTCACTGCCGATTGTGTCCTCCTTTAGACTCACCAGGTTGGCTTGGTCCCAGAGATTTTCATCAATCTCATTCTATCAAACTCTATATAGGTGAAAATAAATGCCCAATTGTAAACTAATGCAGTGATACCGGGAAGCCCAACTGAATCCTTATTTCATGGCTGCATTCTTGTTTCTCCTTGCGACTCTACTGAGCGCACAACTATTGCGCTGCTGGTACGGATAAACAAAAGTCTCTCTGGGTGTGTGCGCTATGCACCGGAATCGAGATTTTGCACCAGACTGCACATCTGTAATTTTATTCCCCTTGTTGGTAAACTGGATCAGACAGTTGGTATACCGTTCGGTGGGAAGACCGGGATGAGGTTCGAATCAGTGTCTCTAACTAGACGAAGAAGCAATTGTTGTCCTTTCTGAAGAATGCAGACCTCTCTTTTCTATAGAGGAAAATGTTAATAGCGTAGATGGTCCTTGGCTTGTTCGCTGAACTGGGCATTTTGATTGCAAGCGTTTCATCACCAATAGAGGTGACATCGTCAGTGCGTTATTGAGGGTGGGTTGGTGGCTATTCCACAATCAAATTACCCTGCCCAGCGAACAAGTTAACGACCAGACTCCGCTTTGTTGCTACAGTGGTGTTGTCAGAAGTGCAATGAAGACTGTTTGAGGCTTGCCCAAAAATTCCCTGTAGAAATTTGCTCAACAATTTTGTGATTCAGATAGAGATACCAGGTGGAATATTCGCCGATCATTTTAAAACACGAGAGTAGGATAGCCGGATATGAACACTGTTCTTTAGCTGAATGTCCAGTGTGAATATTGATCTACGGGAGAGGTACGCATGACTGGTATACAGCAAAAAAGGGACAAGTGAGTGGGCGTAGCCACCAATGCATAGCCAATCCGCTGCAACTATGGGGCAAATCGAGAGCTAGCGTACGAATTCGTTTGATTTATGAATGAATGACACCTTAATTGGCCTGTGTTTCATGAGTTTACAAATCTTTGTACATGTGTAGTTAAAATGCATAGAGAATTGCAGACCCTTTCTTCCAACTGTAGTCAGGGCATTGAGGGTTAATTTCCCGCCCAATAGGGTTAAGCGATGGTCGAAAAGGATCAGGTTGTTTCTGAACTATGTAGGCTTTACCCAAGGGTATGTTATAAATGATAGTTGCGAATCATACGAATAATTGTTACGCCGACAGTTACTAAAAAAGCCAAAAGTGCCGAGACAGACGCGGAGTGGTTTGATGATCCATCGTTTAGTATGAGCATACTGTTGAGCCTGGTGAGTACTTCGCAGATGGTACTCCTCCAGGAAACACACAAAAATCGTGCCATCCCTTCTACAAAGTCTGTGGGAACTGATTTCGAGTTCTTCGGCTTTAGGATGCAAACGTTTGGAAACTCGAATTGGTTTATTTAATTTATGTCCCCTTGGTTGTGATGTAACTTTAGACTATCCTCCAATTCCGCATTTGTCAACCACTGTCCTTGGAATATTTAAAGAAGAGATGTTGTATTCCTTAGGGTTGCCGAAATCCATTTGACTTGTTCTTGTTCAGAATGTTGATGATGTTGTTGATGATGTGATAATGGAGGGCACACTATGAAACCGACGGATTATTTTTCATGATGGAAACGAAATCCCCAGTTGTGGCACGCTTTGGAGTACGATAACGTTCACTGTACTGGATCAAACAACGATTTAAATGCTTGAAGATTTCTTCAGAAGTTTCAAAGAGTCACTGCATATAGATTTCTCGGACAATAGAATGTTTCATCCCCTCCTGACAGCGAAATGATAGTAGTAAGACCGGCATTTTCTCACTTTGGTCAAATTTTACTTACAACCAATGACCTCTTACTTCTCTCATTAATGGATGGTAGTCGGTGCAGGGTTATAATGTAGCGTATTGTAAAATGGTTTGAGCAAGCTGGTCAGATGGGACATTTTGCTACTGAACATATACGTGAGTAGCATAGCAGGTCGAACAACGTTATACAAATTTTCTAATCTTTCAAGTCCAGGGACTGCTTTACATGAGCTAGGAGGCTATTTGACAACGTGATAATTTCACGCACAAGACCGTCAAGTATTCACTTTTCCAGCAGAAAATTTCGAATGGATGCACCTTAACAAACTTTCCTTGTGTTCTGTAATATGCACGCTATGGAAGCACCAGGGGACAGTGGTTCTCCGAAGGCAGGTGTTCACGACAATTTCTGAGGATGGAAAACAGAAATAAAGCTCGTGAGCCAAAGCCCAGTAAGCAAGGTTGTACATCATCAATACCTACGTATAAATCAATCAAATTGACAGACACCGTATACTACAGTTCACAGCTTAGAAGGCAAATTGTCCACTACCCGCACAGTGTTTTTCGTTGTGCTCTGGTGAATGGTTCAGCGGTTCGGTTCTGAGTAGCGTGACCGTAGAATCCAACAGTCATGATGCTCTTGATGGGCATAGAAATGGAGATCCAGCTTGTTGGTTTTTGTACATACGCAAGAAGTGAGTGTTGAATAGAGAAAGCATGCTTTTCAGGGCTTGCGCCAAAGTGCAGTACAAGTGGTGCATGCTTCACATCGTCAGTTCTGTTGGTTGTCTGGATATAGCAGCAGCTGATTCGAAATCGTGCGTGAAAAAGTTTCGAAGTTGAGAAAATCATGTAACTTTGCTGAATTTCGACTTTTCAAAGGAAAAGTAACGCATTTAAGCAATTCGGCATTTTCAAGTTATTAATTTGGTTCTGACGCTACGAAAGAAGGTCCAACGTCTGTATTTTTGAAGAGGGTTGACCAAAATATTAGTATATGGAGCATTGTCAGGATAATCTGCCAAGATGACGAGATAACCTGCCACTTTGCGAATTGTCTGCGTGAAATTGACCCCCAGATACACAGAATCGGTTTCACAACGTATCAAATAATGCTATCCAATAGCAGTTGTACTGGTGGCCATTTTGGTATTTTAAGAAAGCTGTTAGCCCCTCATGAAGCCAAAAAAAACAAACAGACAGACTAGGGTTAGAGTTGGAAATATCTTAGTTCCAAGGAGTGCGTGACGGATGAACCCACAAATGCCATGTGTCGCAAATAGGCTGGGTAGAGTCAGATGTTGTCTACACAACCGAGTATTTTATTACCATTTGTGTGGAAGGCAATTCAGCGATGCGCATTTTTCGTCTGGGTTTCGTTATTTGGAAAACACTAACACTCCAGCGACCGAATGTAAAAACAACGGAATTCTTATTGACGTTGTAGTGTTTTGTATCAACGGTTCCTCACTGGTCATCCTGTCGACCCGCCTGGAATCAGTAGCTTTGCACGTGATATACGCATGCCTCTTCACATGACCTTGAGTGACGAAAGAGATGCTATCTCTGCGCTATCAGCTGACCTTCATTTCGTGTTTGAACTTGAGAGCCTTATGGAAGCGGCACGAATGCGTGAAGCTCGTCAGATGTATTCTCTCATACATTGTTTTCCGAGACCGGCGGTAGCATTACTTCTACAGAAAAACCAACCACGTGCACAATTCTAGTGAAATAAGCCTGACAAAAATTTTGCAGTTTTCGGTGTGAGCATTTTTCTTCAAACAATTACTTCACATTGCAGCAAAAACAACCACTGAAAAAGGTCGCTACAGCTTAAAAAATGATGCTTTATGGATGAAGAAATGGTAAATAAATTGGGCTTAGATGTTGGTGTGTATGGTATGATTATCGCTGGTTCGTACGAGGTACATGCATTCTTTAATGACGCATTACCCAATTTGCTCAAGGGTCTCTGAAACATCACAAATACACAGGTACTGTAACCTAGGATTAACGAATTGGTAGCACGATTTCCAGACGTGTTTTTGTTTGCATCATACGAATAATCATGCTCACATCACTCTCGTTTGAACAGCCGTCTTCCTGTCCTGACGCAATTACTCTGTCTAGTCTACACGAAAAGGGGAAGCTCCGGATTAGAGTTTCGCTGTTATAAGAGTGCATATCCTTGGTCATCTCGGATGCAAATGAGAGTATTTGACGGGATCACACTATGTTGGTTCGGAACAGACCCCGGTATCCACCTACACCTAAGATATAAATGTCAGCGAACTCGTATTTGGCACACTTAGGCCTCATTTTTCGAAGTTACAAACTTAAAATAACAAATTCTTGAAAACCGACGCTGATGTCACTGGTTTCGTTAGACACGGTTGATCTAGTCAATCATGTTTTTGTTTAAAAATAATTCGTTTACTTTGTCTAATAATGTTTCGGGAGGGTGGAAGTATTTTACAGTTGTACTGTGAAACACCCGCACTTGCACTGCAACATCACTTTTCTTTCGCCATAAATCTGGGCCATCTATCGCTTTCGTCTTCCACGAATTTTTCTAACAGGGTACAAGTGAGATATACTGCATGTTGTTGTTTGATACATTATTTTGTATCACCTCATCGTCCACACTATGCACACTTTCAGCACATTTCATTTGCTTCATCCAGTAAATTTTATTTTCAGCCGTGAACCAACCCTCCCCCGTTTTACGAAGCCACTTACGCCTTATGAACAATGGAATAGTTGTTCCTTTTTTCGCGGATCGTAGGTCATGTGTAATTGAATCAGCCTTCACATCTGAAGGGCACTTTGATCACAAATTTGTTCCGTAGAAGGCAGAATACCCATCAGCAATTAAGGTATGTTTAGAATTTGAACACTTGTTTAAACTGTCCTCCTCCTCGTTATTCCATAGGAAGAAAAAAGAACAGGGGATACGAATTTCAGTATTATTAGATATTGGCTGCCATGGCTTTATTCAGCTGCGTCGGAGTTTAAACAAAGAGGTTCTGAGATACTTGACAAACACGCTGTCGGTAGTCCACCGGCTCAAATTGATAGTTGAGCAAAGAAGCACTGAACACTGTTCATAATGCTCAATACCTCAACCCACCGTCTCATAACTGGCCTGATTATGTCAACTGCCCCGCATCATCTAACAGTGTTCATCCCATGTATCAAACAGAGTCGAGTGGGCATGGTAGTGATGTGTTGTCGGAAAATGAAAAAAAAAACGGAAATATTCCCTAAGGAAACAATCCCGGCTCTGGGGAAATCACAGTGCACAGATCGAGGCGCAAAGGAATCTACTCACGGGAGACCAAAAATTGAGAGTATCCACTACCAGTGAAAGGAAGAAGGCCTTTGCCACGGAGTTATTTATTAGAAAACACTAAGTGAACTTCTACAGACTATTGGACAAGGAAGCATAACTCTCATAAGCATCTTGTTTACAAAAACTGAATATCCATCTTCTCCTCGAACGCGTCTTCCTGGATACTCATTGACTGTCGCTTGAATGTAAACGAACACTGCAAAACAATTCCACAAATTCCGTAATGAAACTCACTTGCCAATAAATGCGAGGCGGATGTATTAGAAAACCATATACTACTCGCCGGCCTCACCAGTAGTATCCACCGTTACACGAATGCGAGGCGGCCTCACCAGTAGTATCCACCGTTACACCAGTATGCCTTTTAAGGCAGTTTCTCAAACAAGCAGGAATAGTTGTGCAAACCAAAAATCCTCCGACTTGTTGCAGGAGAGCACAGCCCGATGTTGGTGATTTAGTGACTGGTGGTTGTTCTGTCAGAAACGGTATCGATTACAAAGCAAACATCCATTCTTTACCATTGGTTCTGCCAAGTACAACACTTGTGGGCTATTAGGTGAGAAAAACAAACCACGCGGAGGCCGTAATAATACAGACTTTCCATGTTTACAATAGTCCTACAACTGTGCATCAAAATCACTGGAAAACTGCAGGTTCAGACAAAAACATTCCTGGGCACAACGTTTCTTAAACGTGGCAGTTGGGTGGTCTATTCTGGAATTGCTTAGTATTTTCACCGAGCAATGGAGGCATTTGGCAGCAGAGTACCCTAAAACGGGAAGTAAATGGCGGCCCAATAATTTTTCACCTCAAACAGTTTGCCATTGATTGCAAGCGCCTTCACTTCAGTTTTCATTCTTGCGAGAAATTTCAAAACCTGAAATAAAAGCCCGAAAACCAGTATAATTTTTGCGACCACGATGTGGATTGCCATGTGTGACACATGATCTGTAGTGGCTTTTGTCAAACTCGCAACAATCAACTTAACTTTCAGGAAAAATGGACGCGGTACAGTCAGTTTGAGGAGGTATTTGGAATCAGTGGCGGCTGTTCCATCGGATCTACCAGCTACTAATAGGTGGTATACTTCGAGACATTGGTTTGCATTTTTATAGGTTATGAGCCAGGAAATTGAAAGAAGCTGCACACTTTCCTGAACTGTGAGATAAATTTTAAATCGCCTGAACCGTTTGGATCTTAAAATACCCTCACCACTGTTGTGCACCACTCTTCAAATGCACACCGTGTTCTCTCATCCTCGTGAATGTTCGTCTTCCAAAAAAGTTGATGAGAAATCGCCACCATTTTCCCTATTTGTATGTGTTGTGTGGTTAAACAGTATTTGACGATGGCTGGCTGTTATTGGTTGGTATTTCATTTTATAATTATAGGATGGTTCAACATTGCTCATGCTGTTCCATGCAACGCGGAATGGGGAATATTGGTGAAACCGAGGAGTCGAAACCTCCTCTATTCTGAAAACCTCCTGGGCACACTGATTTTTTATGCATTTTTATGGTTTTGCTTTACAGTGCCTAAGACAACAATCTAGAGCCTCTCAGTTGGAAGTGTAGGGGAGAGTTAGACAGCGGTATTCATCCAACTTGGTTTGAAGGGATGTAGTTAGCCTTCAAATGGCTCACTGGCCTAAGGCTTTTTGCCCTTTTGGTGATCGCTTTTGCGCGGATAGCATTAAGTTGATGTATTCATAGCCAGTTAGTGGCTCATCCAAGGGAACTGGCTTTTAAAGCGTAGTGAGATAGGGTTGTCCCCTTCTGGAGCGGTATCCAGGGGTAGACGAACACTGTTCTCCCTAGCAATGTAGTCCATGCGGGGGCGGGATTGACACGAATTGTTTCAGTGCGTCAGATAAGATAAAGGTGGCTTGGGGATGATTTCTTTGAAGCAGCCAATTGTATTCGTACTGGGTACTGATTGGGTATGTAAGACCGTCATGGAAAACTTCAAGGGGTTGGTAGCTTTGGGATTCAAGCTTGATATATGCCATTACTGACTAGTAATGAGCTCTTTGGGGAGAACCGGCAGTTTATTCAGAAGTATTCTTTAAGAATCAGTGAATCTGTTAACCGGAAGAAGTTAAGTGGTGGCGGTAACACGAGGTAACACAGAGTTGCCTATGGAATCTAATGTGTCTGTAAACTACCCTCGATGTAGTCCGGGTAACATACGTAACTGCGAAGCAACCATACTTAAATAAAAATATACGGCGTATACGCTCAATATAAGGACATTTGGGTTAGAAAATATCCGTTCGAAAACACAAATCCTCCAGTGAGAAAACAGTATATGAGTGATCAAATAAGTCGGTTTTTCTTGGGATAAGATACAGATATAAAGCACATGAGTTAGCACTTTTTTTGAGAATTTTGACGGGGAATGAAGTCGAAACGCTGGATCGCCAGCAACCTTTGAAGTGAACTTAATTATGGGTGAATTCCATGAAGACAATGTGGTGGGTGTGCGGGAACAATTGTACTGGTTGAAACAGATTAGCCGCAAGCACTTGACATTCTTAACTGATACACCCTATGTAGGTTGTGTAATGCTGAAAAACCATAAAAAATATGTAAAGCGAAACAAAGACTTATTTGTTTGGAGCGAGTGATGGCGGCAGCTCAAAGCTTTGAGCCCCACCTTTCGTTGAATTTTTCCACATTTAAACTACTATTTTTAGGTTAGTAGCTGTTTAAAAATGCAGTGAGGTGGTTCACATGAACCACTTCTGGAGTGCCGAATGTAGATAAAAGAGCGCAAGCAAACACCGACAATATCCTGTATGAGAATGTTGGTTTTCCTTTTGATCATTTGTTGGGAAAAGCCCACTCACACCTGTCAATTTTATTACTACATTTATTCTTCAACCCACATTTTCCGTGTTAAAATTGAGGGCACCGCTGCACGTCGAGATTGGTCCAGTTAATTTTAAGACTGCCTCCCGTTCAAAGATAGCTGACACTCTGAGAGTCTTGGCAAAACTGAGCTCGCCAGACTGTGCTGTATGGTATAACTAGGACCTAAAATAATCTAAAAGATTGTGAATTTTGCAATATATATATATATATATATATAACTGATGATATACGTGGTCGAATGCAAAGGGAACTATTACGTGAGTTGACTATTCACAATGCAGTTTCAATCAAACCCTTGAATATGAGAATAACTAGGCATTCTTTCACGTCACCACTTTCACCCAGCAGTGAATAAATGTCTAACGTTTTTTAATCAACCACTGTAACTAACATTAATATCTATATTACGTTACATTTTCTTCTACTTCAGACCCAGAAAAGCTATATTTCGCGATCGTATAGTACATACGATAATGTAAGTCTTGAAACGGAGGAGGATCCAGCTATGCCAGGACATATGCAAACAGATGCGGTAACCGAACCGGCGAATGAGTCTGAGGCCACAACGCATCTTCTGGCTTGTGATAACGCGGATTACGGCACCACGAACAACTGCGAAACGAGTGAAGTAGTTGACACCAGCGTCTGGGATTCTAATACAAGTGGGCAACATACGGAACCAGATTAAAGCTTCACAATATAGCTGACCAGTGGGCCGAAATCAACGTGCAATCAATGTACTCTCTCAAGCTCTTTCATTTACTTCTATGTTTTGAGAGGTTGACTGCGATCCCGTATGCCTACTTTTGTTTCGCTTTCCTTATCATTCTTGGGAAAAACGGATAAAACGGCAGATCATAGAACATTCAAAGAGCACAATCAGTGAAGTTTCTTCGGTGATCTGTCAATTTTCCTTTCGTATATAAACTGCTGCAAACCACGCTCCATATCTGTAATGGCAGTCGACTAAACCGGTTGTCATACATATCACCGGTTATTGTCATGTACTTTCAAAAGAGACAGACGTACTGTACATAGATATCTATCGAATGAAAGTGAGAGCGGTGAGGAATACAGGCGTTCTGTTTGACGTGCATGGTAAAGGTGGTCTGGCTTTAAGAACCCTCGAATCAAACATGTTCCATAAATTTTCTTCATAGACATATCTAGATATGAACTATGAGACACTGGGATAAATAGCTAGATTTTGTTAACATAACTGCCTTGGTAGAACGGAGATCAACAAATTGCTTTAGTGAGCGCTCAGTTTCAGGGGCGCAGTTTCTGGTACGAAAAATCGTGAATCCCGATCCCTTCAAGACAAGATGAAAACTCACAACAACGTCATCTAATAAGTGGAATTACTAGGCTTACATTTTGTCTTCCGCTATGTAGATTCGGTTCACTTCAATATGGGAATGTACCCGGCAATTAGCTTGTGAATAAACGATGTTAGGTGATAACTAATATCTCCGAGATGTGCTTGATACAGATCTTAACCACAGAAAGCAAACCTATTGCCGTAAAAATGGGGGGAGTAGGTTATCAGCCATCCAGGATGCTTTGGTGGAGAAGGCGGATTGATTTCGAATTCCTTGGACTTTCCGACTTTTCCAAAATTTCCATTTCATGGCCAGCTATGCCCTAGTGCACACGAGCATAATTTAACTAGCAACAATAAGATGCTACGTGCTAATCATATTAATTACCAGGGCGTATGCAGTCACTCCAAAGAGCGCAGCTCCAGGAATAATTTCTTCCTTAATGAGACTCATCAAGAGTCACATCCATTTCCGCTACACCAGATAGGTGAACCAGTCGGTGAGCACGTGATCATGTCGTCAACAATCTGACACAACCTACTAAGGGTTCGCGTCGTCATTCATTCTGCTCGCAACTGGCGGATCCCCGTAAGAATGGAAGGCACAATGTAGACAGGCTTCCCGACACCTGGTGTGGCCGAGCTTTTTAAGAATTAGGCATATATTCTCCAGAAACCTACGTTTATGGCCTCGTAGTTCTCACGTCCTCAGCGAGGAGTGCGGATTATTTGGACAAAACATTCAATTCATTCAGCTGTGGTCATATGTGCAACCCAGGTGGCATAATCATGTGCCGAAAGAAATCGACGTTATCTACGCTGTCCAAGCCAAGAGACAGGTCGGTTATGACATAACGGAAGGAGAATGAAAGGGACCGCGCTAAGTCTGGGTGCTACTGGCACTGAGTGCGTTCCCGGATGGAAGTCATGTGAAACTATCAGTCACATCGCAAGGTACGGCTGCTAGCCAAAGTCACCGGTGTTCCGGCCATAAATTCATATCCAGATAGTCTGAGTGATGTCTGAACGTGTGAGCGTTCGACTGCTCTTCGTGCGTCAAATCATCCTTTTTGTCATACGGAGGTATCTAACTGAACTGACAATGCTTCACCAATGTACCCGTATTCTCACGCTGGTTTTCGTTCTCAATTGCGGCCATCACGGGATAGTACAGATCAACAACTGTCTAGAGCCACTATCACCGTACGCATCACTAGTTAGTGCGAAATCATCCTTGTGAATTTAATTATTCAGCCTTTGCCAATAAGAACACTAGGTGACTGAATACTTGGAAATGAATGCAACTTGAACCATGGACCACATTCAGGCTGTTAATAGACGGTCTGAAGTGGCTGCTTGCGAACTTTAGTGGCCTGCGAAAAATCGACCGTAACCAAAGACGTAACACGGTATTCATTTTCTTCTCTTCCGATTCCGAAGCTCAATTTACCCCGGGCCATGAATATTCAGGAGTCACGGAGAATTCAATAATTTCTACTTGGCCGTCTCCAGTCGCACTTAAGTTGTTCTCAAACTTCGCAGCAAATGGGTATATAGTAGACCTTGGAGTATACCTGTACTTAGACGGGCAGACAGCATCCTATAGAATTGCGCGTGATTTAGTTTGGTTTGCTATTGGTGTGACGTGAGAAAGGAATGGATTTACGACAGCGGAAGTTGCAGTCGGACATCTATGATGATTCGGGAGAACATTTGTGTTAGGAGTCAATTAGTTGCATGCGACGGAAAAAGCGGTCTTCTCGTAAATCGGAACTCCTCGCGATAATCTTTTTGTACTGATTCGTGAAAAGCAAGTCGAATAAATGTCAACGTCACAAGCTACTCCGCCACGCTACTGAAATAGTAGTTGCTCGTCGAAATTTAGTCATCAGAACTTTTCACACAAGGGTATGGATGTTGAGCCTGACAAAAATATATGACATCAATTAATGAAGCCGGCATCCGTTTACAGTTTGGGCCAACCAAACTGAACGGAGGCGATGAACCCTGGTGCAGAAACCGTCACATGCGGCTTGCGCTGAGATGTATGGGCCATAAAATCAGAGAATGAACGGGGACACTTCTAATGATCAACTGATGGCGTACACTTTTCTGGTGTGGACGACTGAAAATTTGAAACACAAAAGGCATGCGAAAGGTGCTCAGCTGGCCCGCAGCACACATAAACTTCACCTAGCCGCACACATGTGGCTAGTTAGTACTAGTCATAGTTCTCCCTGGTCTATTCAACGATGGTCACAGACAGCCTACTCCAGCATCAATAAGAACTCAAGGCACCGCAATGTCTACAGCGTTAAGGTGCGTGATTCGAACGAATGCATGATATATATATATATATATATATATATATATATGCCGAGCCCACAGACAGAAGTAGTAAGCAGTACCATCCAACAGAGTAAAGCACCACACAATGCAGCGAAATGCGGTGCAGTATACTAGAAATTACAGCGAAAAAATTGTTACACAATTCATTATGGATATGAAGTACCAATGAACAGATGTGGACAATCCGAAAACCCAAACCGTAGGACCTGATTGGAAAAAAATATTGAGGGCTGCGACTGACCCACCGGTAGTAAAGCTGACACACACCCAGAGGAAATCAACTAAAGCTACAACAGGGTTCCCTGCAACTTCAAACATCGTGCTACTTGATGGTCAAATAGAAAGTTCACACCGCAAGGGGCGCATGCTGCACCACCTGGACGCTCTGTGCGAACTCAAATATTATCTGAAGGAGCTCAAATATTCGAATTTTTACCATGTACTCACGATCCGTTTATCGCCGAACAAAACTGGTGAGTGAAGGTTGACTAGTCGGAAATTTGTCCGCCAGACAGATGTTTCATAAAGTTGTGGCTGTCGATCAGAATGATAACAGTTAGACATGCGTGCCAGGCGTTCGGTATTCCTGTAACCAAACGACACAATATTTGTTCGATATAAGAATGGCCATTCTGAGGCGTGTAAGGTGCTGCTATGTTTGAGATAATGAAGTTGCGACTCAAAACGGAGTAAGGAGTTTACGGATGTATAAGGGCTTTATTTTCCAGTCACAAGTCACAAAAAGACCAAGTAATTGAATGAGTGTACCGTTGATGTGTTGAGAAAACTAACAAGCTACTCAGGATTGCGTAGGCTTTTCTTGATCGTGAGCGAATCACTACCTGGTCCTCTCCTCTATGTTCGGAAAGAGACACTTTTGTGTACGCGACATCCTCATGGGTGTTGACTGTTATTCCATTAAGCGTTTCATGTTTTGAACGATAATGGCAATGGCCTGCTATGAAAGTCCATTGAGAGTGCAAACACAGAGTTCATACAGTCGTCGAATCAAAGACCAAACGGATAATGTGATACTCATTTGACTGGTTGGCGGCTGTCAGTTGTCGCATCTTGTTCCGAAATCAGCCAAAGATAGCATATGAAACTATCAGTGTTAGTTTCGTTTAGGCTCGAGTGTCGTGCTGCGGATGCAGAGCTTTCCGTGCTAGAATGTACGAGGAATTTGACAGCGCACGGGATTCATGCCGTGGATATATTGGGTCGCCCAAACATTCTCCTACTGACAAACCACACTTCTCATAGGGTTCTTGGGACATCCAAGACAGTCCAGTACAGGTTCCGGCCTTCTTGTGCTCACAAGGTAGGGGAGTTCCCGATTTTCCGTCAACCTTGTTTCATTTTAATACCGAATTCTAGTAACTGACGGAGAATTAATTTGCTATCAACTGGACAGCCAAATGAATTCCAGATGAATCTCTCGTTCACGATATTTTCAGCTGTCTTGGGCATCATACCAACGGAAACATGAGGCGGTCTTAATACATTACGTCCAGTTGACGAATACCACAGACATCAACTTAATTTGCAAATGAGTAGTACATTTCACCATGTCTCTTCGTTACAACAGAGAAGGGGGAATACGGTTTTAGAACTTCAAAAAGTCGAAGCTGCCTTTTTTATTAGATAAGAGTATGTTGCAAGTACGGGATGCTGCGTCCAAGGATTCGGTTTACTCGTTTCTTCATTAACATAGCCCGCATTTTACGGAAAAACAGACTCGAGGAGAAAAGAACATTTCAAAAAAGGAAAATTCAAGTGTCTCCACTGAGACCATGCAACCATTTCTCGTAATGAAATTTAATCCAATGACAGATTTTCTCCCTGCTACTGTGGCTAGAAAGTAAGTGTGTTGTAAACGTATTCATGAAAAACGCCTCACTATGGCACGAATCATCATTGACCGGAATATGGACCGTAAACAGACAGGGGTTGCCCATGTAACTCAGTCAAATGTGAAGGTAATATGAATTAAGTTGCCTATTTATTTGAACGGAGAGTAGCACTACAGGGTACAGGTACTACTGAGTAGCTACAAAAAGCTAGCATCACACATTCGCGTAAACGCATGACGCAGTTAACACTTTAGTGGTTGCAAATGTAAGATAACTAGGTGTATCCTGGACGAGATTTATATCAGCACGGATAAAATGGACAAATGTGGCAGCGGATGCAAACCTCGACGGGAGGATAACCTACTTACTGTACCTGACCCGCATAGTCGTATGTCAGGTGTCTTGGAGACAAATACACTCATTTGAAAATCAACTTGGTTTTCACCGGAGACTCAAATAAATCTCCCGCTTATGATGCTATTCAACTGAACGTGCTCCACAAAGGCCGCCTCATGTTTCAGTTGGTACGACATTCGAGACATCACAGTGTATTTTCGGAGAGCTTTCAGCAACCTTGTGAGTAGTTCCTTTATGAAAAGACATCTTGGAGATTCAGTACAAATGGTGTCCCAAGCCTTACCTTGCATTTTCTCCGTAACACGGCCGTACCTTTGTAAGTCCAAGCGTACCTCACAATATGACAAAGCTCTGTAGCGGCTGTTGACGCGTTGGATGGCCTGACAGCTGTCTCAAGAGAATGGGCCCCCTTTTACTGAGGATGTAAACCAATTGCAGGGCGCGAGCAACAAAGCCCTAATTTCCGTCGAGATTTCACCTTGAAAGTGAAGTCAATCTATACCGAAAAGCCAAGACGCTGTACAGATGTTTCACCCCTGATGAGAATCATTGGCAGTGCGCGTCTCATGAAACTTCAATGAGTTTCAGACTCACGACCTTCAGGTTAGTCGTTTGAACCATAAACCGCTCGGCTACTTGCGGTCGGTCACTCGTGTGCTCAACTCGCACTTAGTGTACAGTACCACTCCTTCGGTCAGTGGATTCTTATCACGTGGTCAAATGCTGAAATCTCCAAAACTCTTATTACTGAAAAGTCGCTGACTGGGTGGAGGAACTCAGCTAGGAGAAAGCAGTAAGAATAATGTTAGAGTTCACACATGGTCACGAATGAAGGACATCTAAGCTAAAGGCTGCAGAAAACTCCTAATTTGGTTAAATGGAGTCCCTGTCACATTAGGAGAACTATGCCTTTTGAGAAACTGTTTAGTAGATTTTGTAATAAGTCTTATCCATTTTTCTGATACCTTCACTCACCGAAATTTATCTCTAAAAATAAACACAATTTTATAGAAAGACTTTACTTTGACAATAAAACAGAATGTGGAAAAATATTGCGTAGAAATTCTATGCACAACATATAAGGAATAAATGCATCGAGAAGGGAACAAAGCCAAACAACAGGCTTTCGTATGACAGAGGTTCACGTTTTTATAGCAGCAACGTTTGGCGGAGGATGAAATGTCTTCCAGAAAAGTTCACCTTCAACGTATTCTAAATTCAACTTCCAGCGGTCCTTTTGGCCCAATATACTATAGCAGTTGGTCGAATCTGTATGGATAAGAAGGAACAGGTAGTATTATGAAGTTACAAAGGACTTAGCTTCAACGAAGATAAAAGATAAGAAGCATCATCACTTGGGTGTGAAGACTGCTCTATTCTATCGTCAATCTTCGGACAACAGGCTTCCTTGTTCAGCCGTCGATTTCACTGTATGAATTTGAGCAAGAATGCTTCTGAAGACTGGGTTACGTACGCCGGCAAAATCAACAAGGCGTGTGAACGTTTCAACCTCCGAAGCATGACAGAGGATGAGTTCAAGTGTCTTATATTTGTGTGCGGGTTGACGTCTCCTGAAGACACAGACATAAGAACAAGAATCCTCAGCAAGATTGAGCAGAACCCAGACGTCACATTACAGAATATTACGTCGGAATGCCAGCGCCTGATGAATCTGAAGCGTGATACCGTCATGATACAAGAAAGTGATCCCAGTAATACTGTTCGTGCGATTCGGAAGCATGCTGTCCCTCAGGGTGACAAGAAACCACCCTCGGCATGCTGGAAATGTGGTGAGTGGCATTTCGTCACTGGACACAAAGAAGACCGGTGTCACGGCGAGAAAAGGCAAGCACCCAAGAGGCATTTTCGAACCAGAACTTCCTATTCCAAGCTTCTCAAAGCTCACGTATTTCTGGCCACTCATCAACGCCCACACGTAAACAGGAGGAAATACGTATCAATGCGTATTAACAGCACACCTGTGCGTCTCCAGCTGGACACGGCACCAGACATTACGATAATCTCAAAAAGAACTTGGAAATTTCTTGGCAGCGTAGCATTAACCAGGATCAAACAAGTTGCTCGCACTGCATCCGGAAGTTTACTGAAACTCTCTGGTGAGTTCAAATGTTCCATAACTCTTGATGGTATCAATGTAAGTGGCATTTGTCATGTGTCCGATCGTCCTGATTGGATTTGTTAGGATTAGATTGGATTGACAAGCTAAACTTTTCGGAGAGGCCACTGAATACTATCTGTTACAAGACACAGGCGACGAAAGTGAACATAATCAAAAAGGTGCCTGACTCGTTTTGGAAGAGGAACTCAGAAGGTTGCAGCCCGTGCACTAAGCCCTTATCGTACCACCCTCAACCAAATGGCCAAGCCGAGAGATTTGTGGATACTTTTCAACGACCACTGTTGAAATTTCGACGGGAGGGACCAACACACGATCTATTTCCAAAAGGGGGAAATGTCAGGGCACGCCCAGACAGAAGAAACAGTACATGTGCAGAGAGTGACGCATCCCCAAAGTCATCGTCCGTTCGACACGTCCGGAAAGTAGGTGAGTCGGCGGCTCTCGCCAAACGGCTTAGCAACACACGACCAGCGTAGTGGGCCTAAGAATGTTCACGACCGGAACACCACCATTGGCGAACAAGTGAACGACCATATTTGGCCAAGTAGTCACCCTATATATTTTACGCGGACGATCTGTACGTTTTGTCCTGGCAATACAGCCGTGTCCGCAGTTCTCTGTCTTCTCCCTATCGCGTAGTCCGGCAGGCGCAGTGCAGGCGTAACCACCATAGCTCGGCCACCGCGCACAACACAACAGGTGCCTTTGACCAGCTATTGGTACTCAGTTGGAGAGGGTCACGTTTTAATTTAGTGCAGAAAATGCTGTGTATGTGACTAACAAGCGACTAACGGAGCTAAGGTGACAGGGTGCAAAATGTTGGTTGGCAACTGGTTGGTGAGGATCAATGGAACTGAGCGATCACAGACCGATCAGACTGGGAGACGCACCTCATACCAGTTGTCCCGGGGGAACATTTTATCACCAGAGGGTGAGATAAAAAAGGCGGACAGGTTGTTCAACTTGGTAGTAGCAAGTCCAGTAGTCAAGTTGACAAGCATTCAGTTATAATGACAAAGAAACTAACCGAAGTTCAGTGCTGAAAACAATAAGGGTACCTGGGGCCTCAATACTTCAGAATAACTCGAGTTGCGGTTGAGTAGCTGAACCTCCGTTTCGAAGACGGTTCACTCACTTTTAAGAGAACATACGGTCAGTCTAGGTGTGAAAAACAGAGAATCTGTCCACAATTTACTTCAAAAATATAGTGTGGCGATAAAAAAATATTCACCTTCCGAAAAAATGAACGTCTCTTCCAGTGAATGAACAGGGATCGTCGGTGAATGCGTCGAATCAGATGACTGGACTGGGAGACAGCAGGTTACCAAGAGCCGACAGCCATGCCCATGATCTTCTGGATTAGTTGAGGTGTCGATGAAGTTCCTAGTATCTTCTAAGAGACTAGTTAGCCGCAGAACGTCTGATGCGCGCATTCGATCCGGCTGCTTACAGAGAACAAAAATAAAGACGTGTGTCTGAACTGTCTACAAACTCCAAGCCTAAAACGAAGCAGAATGATGAACGAATATATGTCGAAATTCTACCATTATGTCTTGCTCCTTAGTCGCGCTACGCGAACGGCTTCATCAAAAAGCCTGGTCAGCGGTATAGATGTGTAGTAGCTGGTGTAAACCCCGAAAACAGGAAGGAAGAATGCATGGAGAATTAATTCAGATTTGGAATTCACCTTCTCCAATTCAAGTCTCTGTATACAAAAGTGTGGGACAAAACATACTCGATGGGGACTAATGAGTGAGAAAGCTTGAATGAATGATATCCGCTAGTGTTCGTGAAACTGTACTGCCACTATTCTTCAATTAGGTAGCAAGTAGGTAGGATGTCAAAATCTTTTTATCTTAAATCTCTTTATGAAAGCTGAGAATTGAAATTTTGAATTAAGGAACGTCTAATAATTCAACCAGGTTTGTTGATCCAGTTGACAGCTTCAATACGTAAATGAAGGAATCGTAGTGAGGCCGTAGTGAGGTCACATAGAAGAGCACAGTGTTTCGGCTATTAACCATAGTTCAATAATTCGATCCACTCGACTGATGTTGGAAGTAAAAAATGAAAAGCTGACTCCTGGCTAATCGGCGATGAATGAACCACCAGTTCGAAAGTTAACGCCAAATGACATCAGCACAGTAAAGACCTGGTTCGATCAAAATGGTCATCCATTTAGGGAAGCCCCCATCACGTCACTTAACCGATGTACTGGTCATAGGAGAAACCTGATTGACCCTTGAGCTCACCAGTTTGGTGACCAGAAGAACTGTCACTTTGTTTCTCATTGAAGGATTCTCTGAGCAGTTTCGGTCGTTTGCAATGGAGTCCTCTCACACAATGCGACCAGCTGGGGACAAATGTCGATTTTTTCGTAAATACTTAGTGGCTACGGTACCAAGGACAGTCTCCCGCTATTCGTAACTTGCTGATTCACATTAGGTCGTACCATACACTGACACATTACTTCAGGAAGGCCATGAAAGCCACGTTGTCACATCAATATTGTTTATGGTCGAATCGCCATGCCTTGTTAGTTAGTAGTTATCCAGATATAGAAGGGTAAGCTTTCAGATTGCAATTCTGAATACTGATCAGTCACATAGTGAATAGTCTACTTCGGTAAAATGAAACTTTCAGATTTGGATTACAAGAGAAATGATGTCCATGATATTAACCTATCAGAACTTACAACAGGCTCTAGAGTGTAGTTATCAGTCAGTAATGTAGCGATTTCATGCGGGGTTTGCTTTTGCTGAAAACGCGGTCCATATTCATGACCATTGGCTTCCGATGCGGGACAATAACGTATTTTTTTTTACTGGCCAACACATCCTGGAACAGGACAGACACATTTCTACTAACAAACTTCAAAGAAAACTCCCACGACTCCCTATCACTTTGTTTATTGACTCCACTACTTTTTATTGTCCTCGAAAGCAACCTTACTGGTTCCCGCAATGTTTCATGGAGACCTTTATTCAGTAATCAACTAAACCTTTCTGCCCTTAGGTGTTTGGGATGCCCGGCTGCAATCACACCTGAGATTGACAATCACAACAATAGTGGCCGGTTGAAAGATGCCGGAAATGGAAACTGGGACTCGTATTTATGTTGGGTCATAGCAGCAATTTGGGCTGGACTTGACTGTATTGCGGCCGGGTTCTCTTGACCACCAACCACAGAGACTGGACTGTGTGGCGGCCCAGTCGCCCACATACTTGACTGTTCAACTCACAGTCGCTCACTGGATCGCGAGGCTTGTCTTTTTCTCATACGCACAAACACGTCGCATTAAGCTGACCCATCGGACATCGATTGTCTGCACCGCCTAGTCGGCGTAGCAACCACTCATGTGCCGACGCGCCCACGTATACGCACTGGGACCTACATAAAGGGAAACCGAACCCAGTCAGCACACATAGATTCGCGCGCGCGCAGGGAGCAAGGTATCAGCCAAACACTCCAAATCCAAGGACAATCATGGAACAAGTGTAGCAGCCATACTGCGAAGAAACACGTTCCCACCGTCCGGACTTTTACCAAGGGACTCTCACATACGATAAGTTCCCTTTTGAATGATATTTATTTTTATACGTATCGCAACCATGCTAAAAACTTCTATTAGTGCACATACACCTTCTGATTTGCATTAGGGCTATCACCACCTGTGCACTAACAACTGCACTTTTCCAACTTGTCCAACGAATGTTGTTGCAGCACTATCATTGAATGCTCAACATGAGGCTGCGGACTATTACATACAAAAACTTGTGGTTGAAATTGGTGGTTAGTTTATCAGAGGCTCTGAACTGGAAAAGAAACCCAGTTACAGATCAGCTAACAGAACATCGTTTGCCTTCTCGTAATTAACTCAACAAAAGAATCTCCTTTGAATCGCGGTTTGATTTAAACAAGTTGGTTTTCGAGTCAAATGTTGATTAGCCCTCTGGTTTGTGGCCTACGTAGTTTTGACCATAGGACGTCCTTACAACAACAGCCGTTCTGGAAGTTTTAGTTTCTCTGGGTTCCCTCTCCGGGAACCTAACTTGTTTGCTGTCTGGGTCAGGCATTCGATCAAGTTTTGATCAAGTGCGCAACCATCGAACGGATTGTAATGACATGTCCAAGTGTAATAAGTCCAGTGGCATTGATTTGATTTCTCTGGGTTCCCTCTCCTGGAACCTAACTTGTTTGCTGTCTGGGTGAGGCATTCGATCAAGTTTCGATCAAGTGCGCAACAATCGAACGGATTGTAATGACATGTCTAAGTGTAATAAGTCCAGTGGCATTGATTTGATTCCACATTTCGAGGACACACAAAATCGAAGTAAGCAGCCATTTGGATCCAAGCAAAATATACCAAACATCTACTCAAAGCTAACATGAAATGATACCGAGAGATAATTGCCGCTTTGTGGTCACCGCGTTTGCGACATTGGCATGGTATATCTCTATAGGAGTGGAACCTTGACTTCACATTGTTAGCTACTAGGTAGGTCTACTTTAGTGCTCCCGTATGGGCCTAAGCAGACCGGCCCGAGCAGTGTGACGCATAATAATGTACCCACAACGACAACTTTCTGTCGCGTTGTCCACCGAGTCGATCTTAGGCCTTGGTCCTCTTGCTGCGGTGGTGGTTATCGCCATCATTACCATCACAAACGGCAACATTGAGCCAGATTGCGAGTGAGTGACTGGTGTTGCCTTAATTTAGATGTCTACGGACAAAAAGAAAGACACTGAAAGTAGGACTAGGGAGCAGGTATGAAAGTTATTGAAAAGATCGCAAGGTCTGAAACTAGAAAGACCGGCCCATGGAGCAGACTGATCAATGACTTTGGAGAGCGTGACCAGTTATCTTCGATGATTATTGACCGGTCACCTATCCAGTAGATGGCACCTACCAATCTTTCTAAGTGGCGCAATTAAGGCCACTACAGCATGATATTCCGTTACCAACTGGTTACCACTCTTGTTTTCACTCTCAGACAGGATTTCGCAAACAACATTTAGTTCCAAGGACGCCCCATTTACACTAGAACCCAATAGGATCAGCAAGAACTTTAACATGAACCGGTTTTTGGGTATGCAACGTCCCTACACACGTTTGCGCACTGCATGTTTCTGAACCAAGTAACTGCAAAATGTTGGGATCTAGGTGAAGTCTTTATTTGCTGGCCCATTTACGGAGCTTGAAAAACGGGTTGGAAACGTTCCGCTGCTATTTGAGGATATCATAAATGTACTTTTATGTGGATGTCCCTTTCTCTTCAGCTTGCAGTTATACATTTTACACAAGAGGAGCTTATACCTATAATGTGACTAGCCAATGGTGATTCATGTTCGCCGGGTGTTTACTGGGACGTTGCTGATCTCTGTCGAGTTGTGGTCCGACTTCCTTGCTTTTGATTGGTTCATAGAACACAGTCAATTCTGGTAGTTTCAATTCTGAGTTCATCTGTCGTTTGGCGAGTCATAATACGGAAATCGTTGATTCCCATTGGTTCTTCTGTTATGCATTTATATTCCATCTTTCGATACATCTTAGCAGATTACCCATAGTTTGACGATGATTAAAAGATTCGGAAATCGATACTGCATCCTCTATGTCGATTCGCATTGACCGAACTATATTCTTACAACTTCAGAAGGAAATATACACTGCCACAAAACTGCAGGAACTGCCTCCAGAAGCCGAGCCTTTCCTATGGTTTTGAGGGACCACTTTGAACTGTTTCAAGTGAATGAACATGTTAGTCTATGTGCAGGAGAAATACGACAAGCCATTAACTCATTAACATAGTTGATCTTCGGTGATGCATTCTTGCACTCTTCTTGTGTCTGAAGTTGTACACTCTAAATCTTGTTTCCATATCCCGAAATTTGGTACACACCGTAAGGAACCTGGGCCACATACTCACAACCGTTTTTAAGCCAGCTAGTTTGCAAATACACAGACCGTTTAGCCGTTGTGATATAGCTCTGGAACACACTGTCCCACCGAATGGAAGGCTGGAAAGAAAAGGCATACCCGAACACGCTGCGTGATCATTGGGATGCCTAGTAAGGTCACCACGCCCAAGTTAAGTTTTTACATGATAAAAACCGTGGGCACGTGATGTGTTCCAACGATGGTTTGTCTGGTACACCTGCTCCAAAGTTACAAGCATGAACAGCCCAGTGGTTGTTTGAGTCCTACCCAGTTTCTACAGATGGCACGTGTGTGTTTTGATTGCCATGGCAACAAGAGACTGGTTCATTTAAAATGCTGAGAAAAGGGGCTTAAATCTTATCATAGAAGAGAATTACTTATGAAGCGGACACAGGGTCTGTATGAGTTGTCATGACCAGAGGAATAAACCATTCAATTTTTAATGTCCCAAAAATTCAACACCCTAACATCTGTTTGGCCTGCCAAATTACCCCATCCGTGAAG